TAGAACCCGCTCCAAATCAGGTTTGGGTTGAAACTGTCCCGCTAAACCCATTTGGGGGTCTTGCGGGGAGGTCGGACAAACCTCAATGGGCCATGGCAAAGGACTGACCCGAGCCGTCTGACACCGCGCCTACTCGAGCGTCGAGCGAGGCTGGGAAGGTGGGTGACCCATTGGATCCATGTCCAGCTGGTAGTGACAAAGAATTCCTTGGACTTGGGGACCTTGCAGCGGAAAACGCGACCCGAAATTCAGCGGCAGTTTCCCTGGTAGAATCAAATAGATTCGAAGCCCCAACGCCGTCCATACATTGCTTCTATTATATTCGCTCCATAATCAAAACCAGGTGATAAAGAAGAGGGCGGCCAGCCATTTCTGGTTGGTACTTTCCTTCACTTCCCTTCATGTACCTGGGTTTAAATTTTGGCTGAAGTGTCTTTCTTGTTCCTTTGCGGAAGGGCAAGGAGTTCGCAAACTGACCCGACTCTGCAAAGACCCCGAAGGTTCCGCCAAGGGTACGCGGCAACGACACAGCTTAAGCATGGCCAAGCAAAGCGTGCACATTCGTAAACAAACTTATATACGTCCAGTGGAACATCAAAACAACCTATGAAACGCCGCCACTTTCGGCAAGGAACTGCCCCCCATTTGCAACTGCACATCAACACAACCGAGGAGGAGCCAAATGTGTCCCAAATTGTTGGTCAGTTTGACGACGTTTTGCAGGTCACCTGCTTTGAGACCATTCAGGCATGAACTTGTGTGAATTGTGTGGTTCAATCTAATTCACTGAGACAAATACACCCACAACCCACACCAAATTCACTAACCAGAGACTATAAGAACCCTGCAAAAGAGAGTTTCCAAGTGGTCCGGTCTGTAAGTTGCAAGTTACCATGATCAACAACAAAATCGCGCTTGCGAGACTGGGGTTCATCGTAGGCCTAGGTCCAAAACAGACTTACACCAATGATTCATGAACAAGTTGTCCATCTATGACAAGTTAGCGGCTCCCAGCTCCCAAATTTTCTTTGGCTTTCCTGTAAGATTCCTTCTCTTTCGAGACACCCCGGCACGACTCATGGCCAAGCGGGCTGGATCCTTGCGGTTTGCTCGAGGTTGCTCGCAACTGGCAACCCAACCCACCCGGTATTCCGAAAGCTCCTCTCAGCCGGTCACAGCTTCTCAGCCGAGCCACGCGAGCTTGGGCAAGTCCTCACGAGGGCTCCAAATAGCCCCTTGAAGCATCACTCCGCCCAAAAGAAGCTTAAGCCACACACTGCCCGAGGGACATCAGATTTACATTGGCGTGCCCAAGTTGTCTGATATCACCACCGACTCGGCTTAGGAGCTACAGGGACCCAACAGGCACTACGACTGTTGAACACGCAGTGGCGGCCCCCTAGTTCAATTGACCCGCGCAGCGACCCTGGTAGAAAAAGGAAACCCTTTGGGTTGACATGGGTTGACCATTTGTACCCGTGATGGTGGGAATCCTACCACGCGCAAAGGGGAACACAAAGGCAATGGGAGGGCACCGAACAACGGACAAACAAAACGACATGCCGGACACAGCATCAAGCACTTGCCTGGCCGTTCAAACAACCAATTGTGGCCATAAAAGTTGATGAGTTGATATGAACAGCTGAGCACCGGAGAAACCGCGCGACTTGGGTTGGGCACAAGCAATGGCCCCCAAAGCCCGACAGCCACGAAACTGTTCGAGTTTCCCTGAGAAGCCTAAGTGTGAAATGTCATGTCATCTACGCGAGTGCCAAAGCCAAAGCAACTACCTCGAGGAACAATTGGCCGTGCACACGCGCACACACACACATATATATATATACACGTGTAGATGCACTCCCGCCAAGAATGCACCTTCTCTGCCCATGAGATAGTAGCTACCTTGATTGAGACTCTGTTGATTGAACCTTCCAGACTCTAAAGCCCCAAAAGGCTTCAAAGCGCTTTGAAGCACTTCTGACTTGAAGGTTCAAGGCCATCAGGACTGTAATCCTCAGTATTGACTCCAGTACGCTCTCTAAAACAAAAAGAAAGAACAAAACTGAAGAAATTCTGGACTCAAGATTCAAGATTCTCGGGACTCTCGTGTTGAAACTTTAACCCAGCAAGGCTCCAAGTGACATGCTTTAAATAATTGAACTGCGTCAAAGACTTGCTTCCCGTCCACGAATTGGATTCAAGACTAACAACGTGAGCCAAAAAATGCGTTATTGTTCGTGGAGCAGTGCTGGATTCAAACATCAAACTAGAGACCTTGTAAGATGGAACCTTTAACCTGCTTTAAAGGAATGTGCTTGGAGCATTGCCAGACTCAAGACTCAAAGCTAGTCCCGATAATATTGAAAGCACTCAGCACAAATGCATGGATAAGAAAATGCTTCGGAAGAGCTCAGGAAAGGTTGAACATGAGCAACGAGTACCGTAAATACCAGCTATGTCCCTAAATACTCACTCTAGAGTGGGCCCTAAAACGCAAGCAAATCGCTGTAAAGCACTTCGGGGTGAAAACCTCAACATACTCAGGACAATCCCCAGTAACAACAACCGTAAAAACAGCCAAAAGTACCATCAGAGCCGGAAAAGCCAGTGGGCGGAAGTTAAACAAGAAGACTATTGTTGTACGTCTCTTGCTTTTCTTCTTTGTGTTTTTTCTTCTTGCCCTGTGATCGTTACAAATGTCTTTCTTCTTTACCTCTCCTATTTGCCTTTGCATTTGTGTCTTCAGTCCTTCCTTTCTCTCTTCATGCCTTATGTGTTGTTCTTTTTATTTTGTTTCGTTCTTTCTTTCTATTTTTCTTTATGTCCTGCCTTCCTCCTTTCCTTTGTTTCTGTATTTATTTCTTTATTCAGTGTTTTATTTAGTTCCTGATGATGTTCCTTGGTTTGTTTTGTCTTTCTATGTTTAGTTCTCTATGTTTGTTTCTCTCTGTCTCTTTTCTTGTTATTGCTCTTTCTCTTTCTACCTAGCTATCAATCTAGCTGCGCATCTTTCTAAGCGTGCATCTAGATATCTATCATCTATCAACCAATCAATCCATCTATCTATCTATCTCTATCTAACTACCTTTTGTCTGGCAAACAATCAGTCTGTCTATTTATATCTCCCTATATCAAGGTCTAGCTGCAGCTCTATCTATCTACCTATCCCTGTATCTGAACCAACAAACTATTTATGCGTCCATCCCTCTGTCTGTCTTTCAGTCTATCTGTTGACTGTCTATCCATGCATTTACGTGTCAATCTAACAGTCTATAAATATCTCGATTCATCTATCTATGAATCCCTCCATCCGTCTATACATCTATCTCTCTGCGTATCTAGCGATACGTCTGTATCTCTACCTGTCTAGCTAACTATCTGCCTATCATGTATCTATCTAACTATTTCTCTGTCTTCCGACCGATCTATATAATTATCATTATTGATCTATCTATTTCTCTATCGATCCCTCAGCCTATCTATCTACGCATCTATCAACCTATCTTCTACAAAAGCAAGAATATATTCATACATATATATATATATATCGATATATTGATCTATCTATCCATCTATTTGTATATTTACTGAAGCTCTCCGCCTATCAATCTATGTAGCTATCTACCTGTCTATCTATACATCTATCAACTTCTTCTGCTGAGTTTCCCGGTGCCACGGGCTGGTTGTATAAACACATTCTGGCCAAACCCGGTGCTTGCCAAGGACCCGGAGGAAAAACGAAAAAGAAAAAGAAAACGGACATGGTCAATCCCAATGACTAATTACTTGGTGGCTGGGATTACCCCAGGCGCCTTCAGCAGCTCCTTTGAACCTTGGCGGCTGGCCGGCGCACTCACCGTCCCCGGCAAAAGCGCCGGCGGATCCTGTGGCACTGCCATGCTGGACATCGCTTCGCCGCTGAAAAGAATCGCGAGAGACAAACCCAGGGAAGAGAAACACATGTGGACTTGTGGATAGCTTGGCTTCCGTTTGTCGGCAATGAGCCGAATTTCTGAGCAGGCTGATTAGGTTCCGTCCACTTGTGCTTTTCGAGTATTTGAGGTGGCTGAGGGGCGGGGGATCTGGTGACTGCGCTAGGTGTTGGAGCAATGTTCGACTGCCGCTTGTGAATCAGGGTGCACGTGCCCCACGCGGGTCTTTCCCCGCGAATCGGCCGATCCGGCCCTCTCTCTCTCTGCTAAGCAGAGTTGAGCCACACTGCGGTCGCGTGCAAGTCTCCGAGCATCTGAGCCTTGGCTTGCTCACTCTGAAGCTCCAATATTTAAATATATTCTGCCATCATGGTCGTCAAGGGCGAAGATGAATGATGTCACCACACGTTGATCCAGTGGATCAAAAGGAAGCTAACGGGCCCAAGTGTTCGGCATCAAATTTTGGGTGTGCACCCCCTTTTGGTGTCACGTTGGGAACATGAAGGCTCTTCGTGCTACTTCGCACCGAGAAAGCAAGTCGCCCAGCCAAAGGATCCGAACACCAAAACCCCAGGGGTCGAAATGGGTTACCTGCGAAGCCCCATGCTCCAAGAGACGCGGCTACTAGCAAAACCAAAAAACGGAGGTAATAAGATGATTCTTTGCCTGGCAAGCACCTCCAACATTTGCAGGGGGCAAGACCCCACATGACCCTACTGACAGGGGGAAGCCGAAAAGAACAGCCCTCAGGCCTAGTTCGTCACTGAAGGCGAGGTCGCCACTTGCTTCGCCAAGCACTGCTTGCGTTGTGAGCGGACTATGCCACTATTGAACCATACGCATTCATTGTAGCCAAGAAAAAACATCCCAATCAGCGACACATGCGCACAGGTTGGGACTATTTGCAGCCACTCTAGGGGCCTGAAAAGGGGCTCGAACTCCTCAGGCCGAGTGTTGACCAATCCTAACCTTTCATCCCGATAGGGGAATTGCCGTTGGTCAGCCCAGAGACTCTGAGACTTGTCAAACTCCCCTCCCCCTCCAATCCGAATCCGAATCCCACAGTGCCTAAAGCTCCGCTTCGATGGCTGCCAGTTGCTGAAGGTGCGCACCGTCACACCTCTGGAGCCTAAGGCGTCCGATCTTGTGCTGCAGTTGGGTTTGAACACGGGAACCTCGAAGACATGGAAGACTTTGCTCCAGACGTCTACTGTTGGCTCCTTCATAAGGTACATATCGGGAATGGGTCCCGACAATCAGCTTCAAGCGTGATTCGTGTCCAAAAATACCGACCCCGAAGATTAGGAAGGCCTAGTACAAAGCGGTAGTGTCTTCAAGGGGTTGGCATGGGAAAGGAGATGAAAGGAGAGAACCGCCCTTTTTGTGAAATGTGTTGTTTGGGATATGATGGGAACCCTGCTTAGAATGGGTTTCTTACAATCACAATGTGTGGGCAGCCCTAGGCTTAGAACATCAAAGAATTCATCAGCATCCATTGATTGCATCTGTGCTGTGCTGTGGGAAGCGCCAAGCGTAATTCTTGTTCATGCCCTAGATCTGCTGAACAAACAACATGGACTCATGTGTGAATTTGGACGCAACAATTGTCTCAAACACATAATCTCATGTATCAATCCATGTTTGGAACTGCGTGTGCCCCCCAGCAATCCTGAGAGGTAATGGCCCTGATTTGCGCAAGACCATTAATTGCTGCAGGTGGCTGCTTTTGAGCAGTAGGTGGCACCAGCGTGAACGACTTGAAGAGATTCCGAATCAGAATCACGGGCCTTTCAACAATTGCAAGAAGTCGCGCTTGGGCAAACGCAAGGGACCGATTGATCTTGCACTTGCAAACCCATGCACGCACATGAATCAACTGAGAATGATGGATATTGGGGCCGGGGGGGGAGAGCCCCCTTCCATGCAGAAGTCCAACACCACCCGCGGAATGTCGGGAGCCCAGGCACCCCCCAAAACCAAAAGCAAAATCCATGAGAGTCCACTCCGTTCCGTGCAACAGAGCTCCAAAGAAACCCCCCTCAGCTCTCCGCTTGTGTCCGGGGCGCAAAGTCCGCAGCACGGTCCGCAGCTCGCCCCGGGCGGTGGCGGCGTCTTTGGCCTCACAGCCCAGGAGACGCAGCGCCACGCCGTCCAGGTCCTGCAAGCCCAGGTTGCTGCCACTTGCCCAGCGGCTATCGTCTCCAACCATTTGTTGATGGAGCTCTTCACAACAACTTCCAGGGAAACGCCAAACATTTCCAAACGAGCTAGAGGTCCAGGAGACGGGCCCCAGTCCTTGAAGTTCGCCAAGCCCTCGCGGGAGAGCGCCGTGTCCTGAACCGCCCCCAAAAAAAGGTCTATCTGCAAAAGACATGCGGGTCACATGGGGATTCATGAGCTCTCAGCTTGTGATTCACATTTGGGATCCCCAATAAAACCAGATCATGCTCGTGCTCACCCAGCTCTGCCGAGCGGTGTGGGTTGCTGGGAGACTGCCTGGAGCAAACCATACATGACGCCTTGCCGCTGCAGAAGGCGGCAAACATCCAGGACAGAACAATGCATTGCGGAAATGTTGGGTAGGAGCGCGGCGGATTTCTGACGAGTTCCTAGAACAAGAACTGTTGACCAACGTTTGGCCCTAGACTGCAAATCACGAAGATTAACTGTTTGAAGTTGAATGAATGAACGGGTAAGATTTCGTTCAAGGTGCTGACACCACACACCGAGTTGGCCAGTGTGAAGTTGTTGCCCCCAGCAGCGCTGCTGCCAGTCGCATCCTCATAGCGCCTCTGTCTTCAGGTGCCGGGCGTGGTGCGAAGCAGACGTAGGCAGCCAGGCGGCTCAGGCGATGCGGTGGTGCCAAAGCTGCCTTGGGTGACCCGAAATTGGTTCCAACAAATGGGCTCTAGGATGCTACATGCCTGACCCATGACTGTCCCTTTGGTGTGAACCCTTTTATTGGGAACCCTAGCGCTGGGTCACCAGATTTAGAGCCGGAACATGAAAAGACGTTGGCCTACGATCCTTGGCGTCTAACAGACATCCATAATATGGGAGTGCCTTTTTTTGGAGGGAACCCTCTGGTTTTCAGGCAAACCAAAATGCGCTCCCTTAAACAAAGCTCATACCCACCGTTAGCTTGCAATGGATCTCCTTGCTATTGCCGTGAATCGATGCACGCTGCTATAATTGGAACGGCTGGCCTGCAGGGCTGGATTGGACAAAACAGGTCGGACGAGACAATCATAATTTCACAATCAGTTGCGCAACTTGCATTCCAATTCATCCTCTCAAACGCTCATCACTGGCTAATCTTCCGCAAGTCCTGATTTGAGGGGATGGAAGCCAGTCCGGGAAGTGGCGAGGGAATGAAACATCTGAACACCACGCTTGTCTTGGAACGGCCTTAGGTTTACTAGTGTCACATGCCAATCCTTGTTCAATGGCTCTGGCGCAAACCACTTTCGTGGCACGGGTGCGCCAGGCTCACATTACTTATTTGTCGCATGTCCATGCATCTTACTTTCACGTCTGATGGAGATGAGGGGAACACAATAAAGAGGGCAGGGAGGGTTTGTGCTCTCCCAAGCCCCTAGCGGGCAGGGGAAAAGCCTTCTTTTGGTCGTTGGCTCTGGGAAGCCACCTCCGAAAGAAATCGGAGAACAGGAGGGCGCCCTCCTCTCCGCCTGCACGGAAATGCAGAAGAAGTGACCAGAAAATGGGGGAATGTATTATCCACCATTCCTGAGTATGGGGAATTGTCCTTGTCGAAACCCTGATTTTGTTTTGGGTGTCCCTGGTTGTATTGGGGAAGCACTTTTGGAGGTTGAACACCCCCCATGTTAATCAACAGGGGTTTATTCATCCGGGGTCAACATTCTTTGGACGCCTTTGCGTTGCCATTTCTGCCCGTGCGAGTGGCCTGTTCCTCCGCCACCTGCTCTGCCCAGGCCCGCAGTTGCTGCGCCACCTGCGGCAAAAGCGGCGGCGCCAGGCCCCAGGAGGCGAACAGCTCCTGGAGTCGTTTCCCCGAGCGACCCAGAAGAACTCGCCGGGTGGAAGTCAACTATTAAAGTTCCTTGTTGCGTGGCGCCATGGTAGAGAACCGACCAAAAAACGATCCTGGTAAAAAAATAAAATAACAAAATGAATCAATAAAAAATGAGTTGGCACCCATTTTGGGGGTTCATCCTGCTCAGTTGGGATTCCAACAAGCAATAAATGATATAGAAAGTGGCAGCTTCGACATAAATGTGCCTCCCAACCAGTGTTGGTGGTTGGTTGGTTGGTTGGTTGGTTGGTTGGTTGGTTGGTTGGTTGGTTGGTTGGTTGGTTGGTTGGTTGGTTGGTTGGTTGGTTGGCTGGCTGGCTGGTTGGTTGGTTTGGCTGGTTCAAGCCTGCCCCTCACACACTTCTGCCAGCAAAGCATGGAACTGTTTAGGTCTGGCATACGCCCATGAGCCTCACAAATACAAGACTACCAACAAACAACATGCTGACCTGCTGAGTTTGCTGGCAAGAAAAAATGAACTGTTTGGCCCTAAGAAGAAAAACATGAGGACCGTTGCCTCCCCGGCGCTGCTACGCCAGAACCGATTGTACAGCTTGATCGGTTGGAGAATTGAATGCCCAGGCCACTCACATGAGCTTTAGACACAACCCAAATCAGGTCCGAACTGAATGGACAAAAGCACATTCTCAAACATGAGACAAAACATAATTTGCATATGTGTATATATGTGTGATTTGTTCGTGGCTGGCAAGTATATCGCTGGCCAATCATATAATATCTAACTTCCCGAGTGGACTGGCCAAAGAACAGCATACTTGTTTAGAAAAACACTGAGGTGGTCTTCACAAAAGTTTGAAGTCCAGGAACTGAGGGAGTGCGACATGCAATGGGCGATTGCATCTCACAACGGGCTGCAAGGGCTGAATGTCACTGGATATGGGGGAAGCAGGGCGGGACCAACACCCAATTGCCCGGCCCTGGTAGCGTCAAATTAATGGAAACCAGTGTTTGTGCTGCATCCACTTTTTGCTGGCAAAAAAACCCGAGCAAAACAAAATGAACTTGAACGAGCGCGACATGCACTGAACAACTCAAGCCAGGTTGCGAACCTTTATGCACCCCCACCCCCGCAAATCACAAAGCACTATGTAGAGGGACCGGAAAAAGAGGTTCCGTGTCATTTGGCAAGTTGGGCCGCCAGGGTCGGGCCAACCTCCGGCTCATGAAGCTGCTAGGTCGCGGTTGCTTCCTGGCTACCACCCCCCCCTTCCTCCAAGTTGGCCTCGTGCGCGGCGAAGGTCCAGGCGGCATCCGCCACGCTCGTCAGCTCCGGAAGCAGCGCCTCAAAGCTCCACACCGCTGTGCTCCCCATGAAATCACATGCGGTACGTGAGCCTGAGGATACATAACCACCATTAGTAAGCCCGAAGTGGGTGCTTTGACCTTGGTTTGGTGCAGGCCCTGAAATGTGCACACAGTTGTTCATACATGTGCAAACGTATGAATATTATAGCCACGACCCCCTTCAACATAATACCCTGGTCGAAAAGAATGTTGTTTTGAGCTGGTCTTCGTTCTCGTTCTTCAGGAACTCTTAGAAACCAACCAGCAACAACATCTATTTGTCATTTCCCTCTGCCAAAAAAAAACACTTACCCACTGGATCGGCCGGACAAGGACAAAGCCTGAAGCTGGCAGAATCAGAGCTGTGACAAGGCGAAGCCTGAGGTTCCCAGCGACAGCTGCGATGAGCCGGACCAGCACGTGTCATTGGATCTTGGGGCTGCTGTTCTTGCAAGAGCTTGACGGGTCCCTTGGAGAATCTGACTGCCCTGGACGAAGAGACACCCCGCCAAACAGGATTCGCGAGTGCGGTAACGGCTGCGGCTGCTATTAATGTTCGGGGTCAACGCTGCCTTGCTTCCATTTTGGTTCGGCTGAGTTTCTTCGCAATCGCACGAACCAGCCGCATGCTTAAGGCCCCGCACGCAGTGGGACTGACCTCTGGTGCCAGTGTGGTTGCAGTCTAGCTCAGTCAAGCAAAAAAATCTCA